CGAAATATTTGTTATATCCAATTTTATATTAATTTATTCGTTAATATTATTATATTTATTTGATATATTTATATTTATTCTATATTTTAATACTTACTGACGATAGATTAGAAGAAACATCAGTGTTTGGAATATCGGGCAAATGTATACAGGACAGTGGCACTTAACCTTAAAAAAACATCAGTGTAGGGTATACCGGGCAGTGGCACTTCCCTCTAAAAAAACATCAGTGTAGGGTATACCGGGCAAATGTATACAGGGCAGTAGCGCTTAACCTTAAAAAAAACATCAGTGAAGGGTATACAGAGCAAATGTATACCGGTCAAATGTAAATGTATGGCCCGATACTCCAAACACTTATGTTTCTTCTGATCTATCGTCAGTAAGTATTAAAATATCGAATAAATGTAATTATATTCACGAATAAATTCATATCAAATCGAATATAATAAATATTTCGGACATTCACCAAAGCGACTATATGATTGTCAACATTCACCGGTGAAAGTCAACAACCACCGATTTCGGTCATTCACCGTAACAGATATATATATAACAAGTAATTCGGTATCATTATGATCTATTGTAGTGATTCAAAAAAAAAAACCAGAATATAGAATACACAAAATAAATTCAGTGTGGTTTTCTTTAAAAAATATTAACGGGATGTCTTGAACTTAATTAAAAAATTTTCGAATAGAATATATACACGATAATAAATAAGTTTTCATATACTTTCAAATTTTAATTACAATAATACAAAATGAATTATGCAAAAACTTTTTTCATTAAATTAAAGAAAAAATCATTAAGTATCTTTACAATAAATGCGTTGGTATAATATGGTATTTTACTTAGCAAACTCAAGTCTCTTTTCAAATCCATCACGTGCGACTTCTATCGACATTTCCTGCCATATCTCTAAACTACATTTTTGAATTTGCTCAGATTGATGATTTTATAATCATTAAGTTGAGCGAGCATATATGACCAAACAAAATAATCAAGTGGTACCAAATCAGGGAAGACGAAAGGCCATTCATCCTTCGACAAAAGTCAGCTAAATGTTTGATGCACCACTCGCTAGCCACATATGCAGTTTGTGAAGGAGAACCATCTTGTTGAAAGCAGATATATTCTACCCCATACATACTCAGGGCACTTGGGAGTAAACTTCCCCCCAAAACATCAGTTTTATAATATTGGGCATTGATTT